CATTGTTCCTTATTTTCCTTCTACCTCAAGCAGCTTTTGTGGCAGCAAAGTGACCTCTAATGTTGTATTGGGGTGCTGGTTTAAAGTCTTCTGGCTATCTCTTCATTTATATGTCAGTGTCTCAGGGATAGCTTTTCTCTCTGCTCTATCTCATCCTGCTAGATTTGTATCTAAGTCTTTACATAAATCCTCCATAAATGGTCCACCCATGTATTAAAGGCCTTCCTTTAGCTCGTAGAGCTTGATTTTGTGGAAATCATTGCAACACGTGGGCTACCCATCTCTTATCCATCCCTCCTTATGTATCAACAGATTACTTCCCTTTCCTTGTTAAAAATTTTAAACACTACAGGGCCAACTACAGATTTCTTGGGCACTGCAATGAAGACCTTCTTCCGAACTGACATTAAACTAGCAATGACTACTCTTTGGATCCAGCCATACAACCAGTTTAAATTTCACCTAAATGTAGGGAATATATACTATATCTCACCATCTTGTGCACAAAAATATTTCATTTTATATTCATACATGTCTTTGATGATATCTTGTATGTCACTCACCAAACACATGATTGGTAATACTGATTTTTTTTTAAGTATGAAAATGGAGTTTGCAAACTATAGTCCAGTGAGTTTGACCTTAATTCTAGCAAATTCTAGAATATATTAAAGAGATGGTTAGTGAATATCAAGAAAAGGGAGCAATTAATATGTAAAGTTAGTGAACAATTGCTGATGTGAACAATGTGCATTAGCACATGTGCAACTCCAGTAAAACTTAAATCTCAGAATTTGTTTAGTTCTCCTTTGGAAAATCTTACTTTGTTTATTTACTTTATTCAATCTTTTTGCTTTATTTTTTTTCTCCAATGACATTACCAAACTGGTAGAGCAGGGAAATGCTCTAGACATGGTTTACATAGATTTTAACAAACATTTGACAAAATATTTCATGCTATTCTTATGGAACACCTGGGAAAATATGTGATAGTACAATTAAGGAATTTAAAACTGGTTGCATACCTGGACCCAAGGTGTAATCATTAGTAGTTTGATGTCATATTGGAAAGAAGTGTCCAGTGGAGTCCCCTGGGTCAATTGGTCGGTTAAAATTTATTAAGCTCCTAGTATTTGCCAGACATTGTGCTAAGTGCTAAGAATGCAAAGAAAGCCCCCCCCAAAAAAAAAAAGTCATGCCTCCTCTCAAGGAGCTCACTGTCTTATGGGGGAAACAATATGTGAACAACTATGTAAAAACAAGAGAGATATAGATAAATAGCTATACCTATCGATAGCTATTTTATCTATACATTACACACACACACACACACACACACACACACACACACACACATGCACACAGAAATAAAATGTTTTAGAGGAAGACACTCAGATTAAGGAGGACCAAAAAAGTCTTCTTGCAGAAGGCAGGACTTTAGCTGAGATTTGAAGGAAGCCAATCAAGCTAGGAGGCAGAGATGAGGAAGAATAAAGTCCTAGGCATAAGGGACAGCTAGTGAAAACTTTTGGAGTAGGGAGATGAATGTTATGTGCAAGAAACAGTAACAAGGCCAGTGTTACCAAGCCACAGAGTATTTGGAGGAGATTAAGGAGTAAGAAGACTGGAAAGGTAGGAAGGGGCCAGATTGTGAAAGGGCACCACCAAATTTTGTGGAAGTCAAGAGGTGATATGGTCAGACCTAACCTTAGGAAAGATCACTCTGACAGCTAAATGAATGATGGACTGGTGTGGGGAGAGGCTTGAGGCAACAGTTAGGCTATGGCAATTTTTGAGGTATGAGGTAAAGGGGGGCCTTCACCAGGATGGTTGCAGCATCATAGGAAAGAGTGGGGCATATATGAGAGTTATTATGTAAGTAGAAATGACAGAACTTGACCCCTGATTGACCCTAGGCTGTTTTACATTTTTACCAACAGCTTGGAAAAGGCATAGATGGTATGCTTATCACATCTGAAGATGCCACAGAGTTTGAAATGATACCTAACATACTAGATGACAAAGTCAATATTCAGAAAGGTCTTTATGAGGTAAAAATATTAGGCTGAATCTAGTAAGATGCAATTTAATGTTTGTGATTATATACTCCAACATGGGTTCAAAAATACCATTTCAGAAAAATAAGAAGAGGAAGGTCTTTTTCATGCAAAATCATCTGAGCATTTTGGTAGATTGCAAGCTCAATATTCATCAATAATGTGGTATGGCAGCTAAGAAAGTACATGCGATCTTTAGGCTTTACTGAGAAACTTAGAATCTGGACAAGGAGGTGCTAGATCTTGTAAACTATGCCTTAGGTAGGTCACATCAGGGAATTTGTGTTCAGTTCAGGGTGCCATATTTTAGGGAAGACATTGATAACCTAGAGCATTTAAGCATGTGTTGACCATGGGCACACATAAAAAGTAAGCTGAGCTGGGTATGGTGGTATTGCTTGAGGCAAGCAACTACCACCAGTTCTTCTCCTACTCCTTTTAAATAATCCATTGCAGAATTTGCTAAGAACTAAAGTCAGACTCATTGGTCTATACTTTGTAATCTGTATGACCTTTTTTTTTTTCCTGTTGAACATCAGTATCATCATTGTTGACTTGTACCTGATAAATGACATAAAATATATCATCATGAACAAGTGATATTAAAGATCTAGTCAAAGACTTCACCTAGGGAAGGAGTAATGTTAATATCTGCCCCAACATGTGGCCCAGTCTCTAGAATATAGGCTGACCAGTGTCCAGAGGAAGGCCGCCAACAAGGGGGTTGGAAAGATTGAGTTCATGTTGTATGGAAAATAGTACAAGAACTAGGGATATTTAGCTTGGAAAAGAGAAGACTTGCAGAGGGGAGGAGACTGATAATTTTAAATATTCGAAGGGCTATCAAATGAACGGATAAACTTTTTCCTCGATTCCAGAAGGAGAAGGACCAGAAACTTCCTCATAATTAGATTTCTCCAAAAGTAGATTGAGATATTTCAAGAGGTAGTGGGCTACCCTTCTCAGGAGGTATACCAGCAAAGGCTGGAAGGCCACTTTTCATATCTCTTGATGAGAAGATTCTTGTCCAGGCCCAATGCCATGTACTCTATGGTCTTTGGAGTCCTTTTCTGCTATCAGATTCCAGAGTTCTGTGGCAATATGCTATAGCTTACTTATACCTACCATGTATCTTTTCATTGTCCTTTGGGTAACCTACATTTATGATTCTCCTAAGAATAGTACTATACTAGGATTTGTGTAACATGACAGCTGCATTTCTCAAGGACACAACATGAGAATTAAATTTTGCAGTCTGCCCTAGGAAATTGCTAACCAATAAGGTAATACTTTTATATTTCATTGCACAAGGAGAAGTTGAATTTATCTCTTTTGAATGATGATCAGGAGAATGAATAAGTGGTAGATGGCCTTATGATTTATCAAATAAAAGTGTATCTAATGAGTAAACTTCAGTTTTAATACAAATCTAATTTTATGTATATCTTTAAAACTTTCTCTAAAGAGTAGTTCATTATTCAAAAAATGTTTCTCATGATTCAGTGGAAAGCATTTTCCTACAAAATTCCCCTCTGCTTTTACTATTTCTACATGTCATTGAAAAACTAATATAAAAGTGGTGGATTACCTAATTCTCAAATCTGTTCTCTTGTCATGCAAACACATATATCCTATTAATTTGAAAGGAGCTTTTTGCATCCATATTCCCTTGTCTGGTCTCCTTGCGACCAAGGGCATTCATTGTGAGGTAGTTCTCTGGGGTGGAAATGAAATAGGTGGAGCCTGAAAAAGTGTCTTTTTTTCTGCATAAATGTAACTAGCACATAGAACATAGCTTTAAAGCCAGAAGAGATGTCAGAAGTCATATCATCCTATCCTTTCATTTTATCATTGAGGAAACTAAGGCCCAAGGAGGTTCAGTGACTTGACTCAATGCTACATTCCAGGATCAACCTAACAAATCCTTACAGACATGCCCTAAGCAACTAAATGAACTCATGCAGGTATACCAGACATCTAAAATATAGCCTACTGTCATTGAAGTAGCTGTCACTGTATGACATTGAAAGGATGAGGTAGGCCCTAACATACAATGCTAACATTAACTGACCAAAGGTCTACAACATTCAATCTAATTCAATTTAACAAATATTTGTAAATATCTACTCTAGGCAAATATTTACTAGACCCTCAGGATACCATATAAATATAGATGGTCCCTTTCCTCAAGAAACTTAAAATCTGACAGAAAAAAACCACAACATTGGTAGAGAGGTACATATCAGGTTTCTAGAAATGTAATATTGAAATTCTGATTTATATCTTCTGCTAGTCTTAAATTTAGCTAACCAAAAAGCTACCTGCTTTTTTTTGTTCAAGTAATGAAGTTTCCTAGTTTTTGATACTCATAAATGATCTAAGACTCTGACAGCTCAAAATTTGTTGCTGTCTCCACAGATTCTAAAGTGTTATCAAACTTATTTTAGATTATACTGATCTTTTATGACATTATCAAACATCATCATGGAAATGGGATAAACTTTTTATAAAGAGCATTGACAATGCAAAATATCTGTCAGAGTGAACATTCTTTATGTCTGTAATATTTAATAGTTGAGCTCTCCTTTTTTTTCCTACTTATTCTACCTTTAATTAAAATTTCAGCATAATCATTCTGAGATCATGTTGAGGGGAGGTATGAACACCATTAAGTTTCCTGTTGTAGAGGGGTGAATATTGGGTAACAATTATAACAATTACAATGATTCTTTTTTTCAGAGAACTTTTCAAGTGAAAACAGATAGCTATTACCTTTAATCCAGGTTACTTACTACATTTTCAGTGCAATGGGGCACTGGTTTTGATATGAAAACCTGCTAACAAAATTGTTGATTTGATATGTTAACTTCTCTGCTTGGAGCTGTCAAAGTCTAATGATACTGTCTTTTCTTTCTCTTTTTCTTTTTTTATTTTTTTTTGCAGTGGAGCACCCTGACAAAATGCCTAATGACCAAGGTACAGTGGTCTCAATCTGTCACTTTCCCCTGTTTGAATCAATGCTATATGTTTGAAATGATGTCAGATGTCACTTTGCATTCTGCTTTTCACCTGGGCTATACACCTGATGAGGCAGACACTGGAGCGATAATTAATCTTGTTAATGAAGTTCTGCTCCGTTGAGGCTGCTGCTTTGATGGGGAAGATGTAAATTTTCTTGAGAGGAAATTGTTTTGTCTCTTTTCTGAAGGACCAATTAAAATGTCAAGCTTCTTTGTATGAAATAAATTTTTAGTCTCTGTCTGCACTTCTGAATAATTCACATTAAGTATAATTAAGCTCAGCATAATTTTCAAGCTGCTCTTGCACCCTTTCCTGAGCTATAGATTAAAGTTCTGTAGCATGGCAGAAAACCATAAATCATTTTCTCTTCTCCCCAATCAATGCCCTTTATTAAAAGAAAGCAAAGTGGAGTCAACCTTTTACCAGCTTTGGCATTACTAATTCTTACAGTGTTTTCCCATTCCTTGAATTGAAAGCCTCCTCTACTCTAAACATTTTATCATCTTTGTACTCTTTTTGTCTAAAAAGTTGTGTAGAGAGGCATTATGATGTCTTTGAAATGATTCTACATAAAGGTAAATGAGAGTTATTCATCAGCCTTGGAGCAGAACAGAGTTTGGTATTACTCTGATTTGTAGGCCATTTGGTAAATTGGGATTGGATCCTCTTTATATTAGCAATGAATGGTATCCCAAAAAGGATTGTTTATGTTTTGTGCTTTTCAGGGAGTTTGGGTATTTCAAAGAGGGTAAGTTTGTAAATAAATACCTGTCGGTAAGATCAACTTATTTAGTGTTCTTTAATTTAAACATGGTAGTGCCAGCAATTTTTCTGCTTTGAATATGCTTATTGCGAACAATTGAATTGTAGGCCTAATGTCAAATTGGTCCCATTAGGAAACTGGAAGAACACATTATTTTTCCCAGTCTCGCTTTTTGAGAAGAGCAAAGCTCCATCCAGGATATTTGGGGCTTTTTGAACAATTGCTGTGAATCTATACACTTAAATGTTTTTGTAGGAAAATGTACAGTGTTGATTCCTCATGCAATACTTTTAAAGTGAGATGTAGAAAAAAAATTCTAATGGCAAAAGAAATCAAACCATTAAAACATATAAAAGATAAATGAGATAGGCAGTATTATCATTCCTCACACATGTTTTATTCTGGCTGCTTCTATTTAAAATTTCTCCATGGCTTCCATATCTATTAAATAGTAATGTCCCTGCAAAACACTAATAATTAGTGGTTATTGTGGTGATACCCATTCACTTGAGTGAATTAGACATAGTGCTGCCCATATCTGAGCTTCAAATAATTGATCAGGAGAAATAAAAATGAGGTTAAAATCCCAATTAAACATTTGCTTTTTTTCTTCTATTTCCTTGTCAGTAAGTATCACCTAACATCCCTTCCCAACTCCCTGCCAGAGTTGTGAGGCAGGTAGGGTGTGTGATTTGGAGTCATGAAGACCAGCATTCAGATCCCACTGTAAATGTTTACTAGCTGTGTGACTGTGGGCAAATCACTTATTCTGTCTATGCTTTTCTTTCCTCTTCATCAAATGAGGAGGTTAGATTTGATAACTTCTAAAGTTCCTTCCAGATGTAATTATAAGATCCTGTGATCCTACAGAATGACAATGTTCTCGGAAGCTGAAATTACAAACATATATGGAATGCCAGGTAGGCATGACATTCACTAGAGAAGAATGACAGACCACCTTTCTACCTTTCTACCATGAAATGCTCAGTGTTCTTATTTACCTGGTATTCTTGATTAGTTCTTACCTATGCCAATAGCCTGCTCTTTAGGGCCAAGATAACCACTTATTGTACTATAATTTCTAAATTGATTGTGGATTCAGAAAGGAAACCACAGAGAACAGCCAGACTTGAGAACCAATATTGCCAATGTATTCCTATTACTCTATTGAAGAAAATATTTCTTTTATTTCCTCCATATGACTTAGAAAGGACCAGTACACATTATAACACCCTTGGTGCTTTTTTTGAGCACACCTGGGAACATAATTTGTCAAATTTGGGGATCCTAAATTTTAAATCAAACTCAAGTCATTCTGAAGGTCCATGGGGATCAACTAAATACAATTTGGTGATTCCAAAATAGATCTTTCAATTCTTACAAAGAAAGCACTTGATATTTCCTGACCATCAAGAACAAAAAATATTCCTTTCATAACATCAGTCTTCTGAGTGCATGCCAAAACAAATGAGAAAAGACCCAGATTAAGTAGCCTTCTCCGCTGCTTTCCCACCCCACAAAAATCAATAAATAGAAAGAGGATATTGATCTGAATATTACAAGTCTTAATACATTCCACAACCGAAAGGGTAGATTTTATTTTGCTCATTATTTGACTGATTCTCACTACCTCCTCCCTGCCTCTGTCTGATAAGTTTGTGATAAGTGGCTGAACCTCAGAAAAATATTCCCTCTGAGAAAATTTGGCACTATGGATCAGAGTGAAACTATCTTGATGAAACCCAAATAGATATGCAGCAGGGCAATTTGAGTAGCAGAAAAGAAAAAAAAAGAATCCAGTTTTGATTGTTCTATGAAGTATCTTTGCAAGCTATCAAAAAATAACAATCAATCAATAGGTATTTATTTTTTTCTCTTAATTTTTAAAAAAATTTTAGACAAATGCTGAAATTTAAATACACAATAAGAAAAGAAAAAGAAACATTATAAACTTAAATATAAAATAAGAATAAACAAAAAATGTCACGTGCGCAGCAGAACGTAGGAGAGGATTCAAAATATATGGCAATAACTTTTCATTTCAAGAAAGCCTATATGTTAAATACCGTGCATTATGTTGAAAGCTGTCCATCTTTTCTTTGTTTCCTTGTAGGTTGTCTTTTGTCCTCTGCTGTACACTTTTTACTTTGTTGTTTTTCCCCTTTCCTCTTCCCTACCCACCACCCAAAGGTTACAATTGAGCATTGGATATATTTATACAGAGGTATTGATATATACATACACTTATACATATATACACATACATATATACATACATATATATGTATATATATATATATACATATATATGTATGTATACTAAGAGATTCTACTCCTAATCTTTGTTTTTATGTTTGTTCATAACTCTTTTTCCTACCTCTTCTAACTCCTCTACTTTACTTCTGTCTGCTACCTTCCCCTCCTATTACCTAACCTATCCCTACTCCATCAATCCCTCCCTTATCCTCCCATTCCCCTGAATCTAAACTCCCTTTTACATCCTCCTATCCCTCTTTTATTCTCTCCTCCCCATCCCCTTAGAGTTTTATTTTTTTCTAAATTTAGAAGACCTTTATACTTTTCTAAATGTATATATATTTTCCCCTAATAGCTCCCCTCCCCCATCTAATTCCTCTGTATTGGTTCTTCCTCTTGCACCTCATTTGTTAAAGATAATTACTCTTTTGGCTGTACTTGAATGGCTTCACTTTTTGAAGTCATATCATACTCAAGTCTACTGAAATCTTCCTTGTAAGTTACCTAATTACTAGTAACAATCTTAGACAAAGGTTTTACATTTTTCAACATAAAAGGTAAACATTCCATCCGTATTTAGTCCCTTGTAATTGGATATTGGTATGTACCTTATGTTTCTCTTGGCTCTCCTATGTTAAATCTTCTATTGGGTTCAAGGGTTTTGTTTGTACAAAGAACTGATCAAATTGATCGAATATCCAATTTTTTCACTCAGAATTATGCTTAGCTTTGCTGGGTATATTTCAGTGGAAAGTCCAGTTCTTTTGCTCTTCTATATATAGTGTTCCAAGACCTACAATCTTTTAGTGTCGCCACTGCTAGGTCTTGTGTGATTCTAATTGTGGTACTGCCATATGTAAATTGTTTTTTTCTTGTTGTTTGTAATATTTTGTCCTTGATCTAGGGGTTTCGGAATTTGATTATAATATTCCTGCAAATTTTCCCTGTAGGATCTCTTTCAGGTGGTGATTGGTAGATTTTTTTTTCTATTGCTACAGTTTTCTTGAATTATTTCTTGTATTATTGTCTCAAGATTCTTTTTTTTTTTCAGAACTTTCAGGTAGTCCAATTGTTCTTATATTTTCTCTTTTTCATCTGTTGTTTTTCTTATGAGTTGTTTCACATTCTCTTCTATTTTTTTCATTCTTGAGTTTTTTTTTAAATTTCTTTATCTCTTATAACTTCACTGACTTTGCCTAGCCCAATTTGGATTTTCAAGTAGTCATTTTCTTCCTAGATTCTGGATTTCCTTTTCTAATTGGTTGATTTTCTTTTCATAATCTTGTTTTTCTTGCATTATTCTTACTTTTATTTTTAGTTTTTCCTCAATCTCTCTCATTTGATTTTTAAAGTCTTACAATCTAATGATCTATAAATGATTTTAAAGTCTTTTTTCTTTAAGCTCTTCAATGAATTTTTTGGGGCAGGTGACCATTTGACATTACTCTTTGGGGTAGAAGATTTCTTTGCTTCAGTATCCCCTTCTAAAGATGAACCTCAATCTTCTCTATTCCCATAATTGCTCTCTATGGTTGGATTCTTTCTCCTTTGCCTGCGCTTTTTTTTTTTGATAATAATGTAGTTGTCTTTTTTTTGTTGTTTTTTGTGTTTTTGTTTTAAGCACCTTTAGTTCTGGGCCATGGAAGGGGGGCTCTCTAATCTTCTTCAGTTCTCCCTTCTGACCTTGTACTCAAATCAAGCCTCCTGTTAGTGACTACAGCCAGCAGTGTCCCCACCCCATTTCGTCTGCACTCCTGGCCTGTGCTGGTTCCTTCTCATCCCTCTGCTCTCCACAGCACCACTGGGCCTGGCATTCTTTGTCAATGGAAGTTCCGTCAGTCTTCCCAGCTCCGACACCCAGCTCCCCTCACTAACCCCTGTGGGTTAAATTTCCTGTGGCTGGGGCCAAGGCTTCCAACCCAGCTAACCCCAGGAC